ACCCAGTGGTTTCTCTGCTGGTAAAACTCTTCCGATGGTCTCACTGCGTGAAGTGGCCCTCGGTTGTCTGAACTTATTGTAGGGTGTCGTGGCAACTAAATAAATAAAATACAATAAATGAATTGGATATCGATCGCAGCCCTCGGTTCCCTCCGGCGACCCGTCCACTGCTCGTTGCGCCTGGAATATCGGTAAAAGTTTTCAATGCCACGAAGATGTTTCGTAAAAATGGGAATTAGTTAAGTATAAATATATCAAAAAAATTGTACGCTTATTTTTACCGTTTTCAAAAAAAGTTTCATTACATGGTAATAAAAATTGATATAAAAGGGCAAATTGTACGAGGAGTTTCTCATTGCCGGTAAACAAGAAAAATGGTGCCCCGAAGAAAACTTCGAATTAATTTTTAAAAAATGTTTTGCACACCTTATTTCACACCATGAAGTTTGGTACGACTTTAAATACTCCGGGAACCCAGCGGTTCCAACTGATCGTGTTTTCTGTTGCGCCAATGGTTGTTGCAATTGTGCGTTACCAGGCACATCGTCAAGAATTTCGATAACTGGGCTATCCGCCGGTGTTGTATTAGCGTTAAGCCTTCGGTAATCACCGGTTGGACGCCAGTCGTTGCCACCCTTTTTGGGAACCATGTGCAATGGCGATGCCGAGGGACTATTTGACGGTTTGATAATGCCCAGTTCCAGCATGTGGTCGAATTCACTCCTCGCCGTTTTGAGCTTATCGAGGGCTGGACGGCGCGCTTTGGATGCCACAGGTGGACCTGTGGCTATGACGTGATGCTTAACATTGCTGGTTATTCACGGAAGAGTATGCTGCAGTTACTGCAACTCCGGGTAGTTCCAGAACTGCCTGATAGGACGCGTCGCCTGGTTGTTTGGTTCTAACGATGGCTAAACTCGGACCCACATAGGTAGTGCCGCCAATAGATAACTTCGTGTTGTTATCTATCAGTCGTCGACGGCGAGCATCTACGAGTAGATCGTAATGGTTTGGCAAATCTATGCCAATGATGGACATAGAGACGTCAGCAAGGAGGAAGATCCAGTGAATAGGTTTGCGTAAACCTAAGTTGAGGTAGGCATACTGTCTCCCGAATGTCGCGATTGCCTTGCCGTTGGCTGCTTGAAGATTGAAGGATGGGTCGAGATGACGCTCCTTTGTCGTTGCTGGAAGAACGCTAACTTCTGCGCCGGTGTCGACGAGGTAGCGGACTTTCGTTTTAACGTCGGTGACGTAGAGCAAACGGCTTTTTCCGCCGGCTACGGTTGCCGTGAGCACGTGCCGGCGTGACCGTTTCCCGAGTTTGTGTCCTTCTTAAAACGGCATGGTTTACGACATTTTCTGGCTTCATCCCCGTAAGTGTTATGAAACCAGCACCATTCAGGGTTTTCCACCCTGTTGGGTTTCGTTTTAGGGCTACCACGTGACTTGCTGCGATGCGCCAAGGTGCGTTTCTGTGAAGTGCTACGTGATCTAGGACTTCGAGATCGTAGCAACCGTTTCACAGAGTTGCACAACTTGGTCACCTCCGAATCCTGGCGCTCTGGTTTGTCGCAGATAGAATATACGTTGGAGACGGGTCTGCTGGATATCTCCAGTATTTTATCTGCTGAGGCTGCCAGGTCGTCGAGTGGGACTGACTGGAGTGTCACCAACACGGTTTGCACCGGTTGTGGTAGTTTCGAGAGAAATAGTTCTCGGAAGAAACCATCGTCAAATGTTCGTGCACCGATTACTTCTCGCATGCGTGCGAGGACTTCAGTAGCTGAGTGGCTGCCTAGCTCGATGTTACGAAGCAATTCGTCTAGACGTTGGCGATCTGTGAGATCGCTTTTCTTCAAGAGTGCGGCCTTTAGAAGTGCATAAGGGTTACTTACTTCAGGATTAAACATGTTTGCTGTAACATGCCTGTTTAATTCTCGCGGTAGTGACCGTATGACAGCAAGAAATCGAGATGAGGATCTGAGACACCCTGTTCTCGAAAATCGGCCTCGTCGTACAGAAACCATGTTTCTGCATTGTCTGGCCAATATGGCACGAGTTGGATCGTGTTCGAGGTCGGCTTAATACGAATAAGCTTGGGAGTGTGGTCGGACATGAGAAAGTGTAGTAAATGGATATATAAATGTTATCGAAATGAAAACAACAAACAAATATAAAATGGAACAGGCTCACCAATTCAGTATTTGTTATTGGTCGGGATATGTGATCACGTCGGGCTCACCAATTTAGGATTTGTCCTGGTGCGAACTTGACAGACGCAAAGACCAATCACTAATTATTCGAACTTGTTATATACCCACGAATACGAGACCGAGGAAAAATATGATAGCGTAGTCGGATGGAATAGTATATTTGGATGGTTGTGCCAAGATACCGATGCGTTCCAACTAACTGGCTGGAGAGCCGAACAGGAGCAGTGCAACGTAACACGACAGCGTGCCAAATGGCGAGGATGCTTGACCGGGTGCCTTCAGCTTAGCAAGTCCAGTTAAACTATCAAGGTCAGCATCAATGTCGAAAGTTGTCAAACCCTAGGCTATTGATTTTGTGGAAGTGTATAACTTTACAAGTGTTAAGCGAGGGAAGACAGCCGAAAGACAGAATAATACTACATTGGTTGGGGTTAAGAGCACAATATGCATAATGAGGGTTAGAAAAGTAGCTAAATAAAGATCACTGTTTGCAAATGGAGTACTCAGAAGGGACATTCAAGGCATTTTTCCGTTACAGCAGCCGCATCGCAACATACTGCTTCTAATTTGCAGTGACATTCTGTGAGGAAACTAGGGGCCGCTCTACCTCTCACAGTTGCAACTTTGGAACATATTCCCGCTTGGCTTATGCTCCATCTCCAAATAACTATGAATAATTCTATGAATACTTATCGGGGCCGTAGAGATTGGGTAGCAAACTCACGTGTGTGATGACATTCCTCATATGATTGACTGAAGGACCTGACGATTGCCAGCATTTTACGCTAACTTCCTTGTCATTACCTATTATCGAACACGAGGTTCTAAAGTCTTTTATTAAAGTAATACTTCCTCAGAATATTCTGAATATCAGTTAAAAGCCAACTCAGTAAGTGCATACAAATGCAAAAAAGTGCCACTGAGACTAGACGGCTAGTATCCCTACTTTTTACATCAGTCTATCTACCCGGTGTTATCAGGGGGCATTTTAGGCATCGAAATAAATTCCTGAGCTCTTTGTTGAATGATCGGACCGCAGATAACCCTGTTGCCCGGTGGTGGCATATATTATGAGGAAAGAATCTGAGTTCATATAACTAGATGGCTTAATCTGGACCATCAGATTTTTGCATGGAAACCGGCCTACTTCCCCTGATGTGGAAGAAGGTGGGGATATTGCACAGCAGTTCTCCGCTATCCTATCATACTTGTGTTAGACATGGTCACCGAAATTACAGGACATGGTTTTTAACTCTGGATGGCTTTGTACTGTTGTTAGCCTGTGGTAAAAAAGTGATACTGGCGGTGTCTATGTTGTTCAACTTGTGGCTTTCAGCAGTAAGTACTGAACGCAAGAGATCAATAAGAAAAAAGCGTTATATGGTAAGACACTTGGAAAAGTGGTGTATTTATTACCCTACACTTAGGAGTTGTTTTTGGGAAACACTTGCAAATTATATGCCTATAAATAACCAAATCATGGACCCCGAAGATTCGACCATTGGTTAACCTAAAGAAGATGCAAAACAGCGGTTACCTGATGGTAGATCCGCACACTTTAAGACAAGCTCATCATGAACAATGAGTTCCGCTGACGCCACAGCAGATTATCAACGAATTTTTGGATTTTCAAAACATTTATGTATCTATCTTAAAATGAATGATATTTTGGTGTTAGTGGACCGCACTGCGGAATCATCAAGCGAGTGAGGTGTAGTGCGGTAGTCAGGAAATGCAGGTAAGTTGATGAGGTTGTGATTCTCTAATGTGTGAGGTTGCCTGAACATGTGTTACAAATGCCAGGCTTGAACGTCCTAAGTGCCACGTAAATATGTCTGGGCAGCTCACCCTCCAACATCAGAAAAGGTGCGGAAGCATGGTCATAATCAACCAACACACATCATTACAGGACAAGGTATTGCTGCACCTCATACCAGTGTAGTACGTAATAAGGTAAATGGGTTGGGCTATAGCACCCTGGCAGGCAATCGATCAGTATTTGGTAGAATACGAGTGCGTTCCAATAAGTCTTGAGTTATCAGGGAATAAATTCGGAAGACTATGTTCTATTAGTGATATCATCTGGGTTGACGACGTCATGAGTGTACTACTGGTTGACGTAGAAACTCTCTAGAAAAGAGTCGGTTGTTGCAATTACAGTTGAGGATGAATCGTCACCAAAAAACATTTTTGTCAGAATGTTGAATGTGTTTTGATCTTGTCCTTGTAACGTATTCAAAAACACTGCCCACTCACTTTGTTTGACTTCATTCAGTTTGCTTGTACAAGCATTTTTAACCTCTTGTTTCGATTTGTGTTACCATTATGTTTCATTTTGGATAGAAACTGCAGTAGCTGTCAAAATTGAAGGTTTGTAGCTAGGTTTTGTACATATATTTTGTTGTAAAGAATAATTTTTGCAGGGTTCACCTACTGTTCAAATACACATCCGTATTTTGGCAACTAATTGTTTTCGATGTGGTCGGTTTCGCTTTGGGTTTTGTGAACTCTGGAAATTCGTATCTTCGTTACGTGCTACTCAGTGGATTTGACGTAATATAAGTTTTTCAGTTTGGCTCTGTTCCTTTGGCTGACAATTTAGTTCGTTCCTCTTTGGAAACAAGTTTCATCATTTGGAATATTCTCATTCCAATATGTTTACGGATTGCTGAAATCGAGCTGCTAAACGAGTTCATAATGCTAGATGTAGACACTTATGAATGATAACTTGGAGTTCCTAATGCCTTTTGTGATAAGGAAGATAAGGTGAGCGTTGATGTTAGTATGCATGGTTCATGTAGTACGCCTAATTCTATTAATTATGAAGCATCTAAATCTTTGTCGAAGGAGAAAAGGCTAGAAAGCGAATTAGGATCAAGTGTTGCATTGTCGCATGATACATTAGGAGTTGAGGACAACACAAGCAGTCACTGCAGGTCTAAGAATACTGTTAGATTGTCTGAACCGAGTGACGTACAATATAACCTTGCATCAGATTTGACAGATTGTTTGACCTCGATAGCGAACAACACTTTACCAAGGACAGAGCTGCTGTACTTTGATGGACAGCCAAGTCAATACTAGTCGTTTATAAGTCAGTTTAAAGATACAATGTAGGCTAAACTTACTGACAGAGGCCAAATGTTGTCCTGTCTATTACGCTCTTGCAAAGGGAAGGCAAGGACAGCGACAGAAACGCATTTCGCTGCCGCTGACCTCGGATACTATATAGCTAGGGAAATCCCTCGCTCGATCACTTATTGACGACTTGGTTAGGAACAGACGGTCTGTGGAGAAAACTGTTTAGGCTATGAATGAGTTCTCTGTAAAGCTTAGGAATGTCCCAGACCGGCTGTGTTGCGGATTTGAATTCGCTGGTCAACTTGGAGGCTGTTGTCAATCGGTTACCTATAGATTTACAAGATAGATGGGCTGACATAGCAGATAGGATTTTGGTCACTAGGAAGGAAACCGAATTTGAGGACTTGGTTTGCTTCGTTGAGGAGAGAGCCAGAAATTCGGAATGCGATCGGGTGATGGGTTCTGGCTCACAATTCAGAAGTAGGTCGCACTGCAAATTGGTAGGAGGTACTATCCATTCTACAAATGATCGAGCCGCATGTACTGCAAGTTGCATCCTGCGTTACGAACCCCACAGTCAACCTGAATGTCCGAAGGTATTGAAAATGCTGACTGACGAAAGATCAGTAGTCAAACAACTTGGTGTCTGCTACAGTTGTTTAAAGAAGGGTCGCAGCTAAGTTTTGCAATTCCAGACTTGAAAGTAAGTTTGAGGATTGCAAAGTGAATCATAACTTTTTGTTGCGTGTGACACAATAAAGCCAAAGTAACTGGTTCAATAACTCACTTGACAGAGGAAATAAGATCTAAGGTGAACTTGGGAATCGTCCCAGTGAGACTAACGGTGACTGGGATTTCCCAGTGCAAGTGCTTGGAAGTGGGTGTGGAACCCTGCTCATTGGATAAACAGGGTTCAGTGAAGGTACAAAGGGTTTACACCATTAGTCACTTACCAGTAACAGGTGCGGATACTCTGTCTGAACGGCAGATTAAGGTGTGGAGCCACTTGACAGACATCAAACTACCTCGATTATGCAGTGATACTGTTGGAATCCTGATCGGATGTGATGTTCTGGATACTCATTGGGCCCTAGAACAGTGTGTTGGAAATAGAATCCAACCATTCGGAGTAAAAACGCACTTGGCTTGGGTTGTATTTGGCTCGAAGCAAGATAAATCCTCATATAAAGTTGCCTTTTGCCGATGTTCGAATAACTACTGTGTCATATAGTTTAGAGAGGCTGTATGGTCATGAGTACAAAGATACTAGCAGTTCTGGTGAGATGCTTTCTGTGGAGGATAAAAGGGCAGTTAAAGTTGCGGATCGTTCCTCTAGGTTATTCAACGGACATTTTAAGGTTGGGCTACCCTGATGATTTGACAAACCTAGTGTACTTGACAATTAATTATGAAGTGGCTAAACGTAAACTTGAGTGTTTAAGAAAACGATTAGCAAATAATAGTGATCTACTCGAGAGATATAAAGAAGCTAGCAGTATTCGTGGGGTACATTTGCGATTTGGAGCTAGGGTCATCGCTGCTGCAAGTCACGTTAGTGAAATGTTTTTGCAAGTCAGGATTCCGAAACATGACGGACCAGCATTTCGTCTCTTGCTGGGCAAGCTTGGTAACATGGACCAAGAAGCTACTGAACATCAGTTGATTGTTCTTCAGCTTGGTATGGCCTCATCACCTTTCTGCGTTAACTATGGGCTCAGGAAGACCATGAACACTTCCTGTATTGGAGAACCTAGTGCTATCAAAGAGGTCATTTATGAAAGTTTCTATGCTCCTACCGACAGCATCTCAAACACTATTTCCTTATTCGATCGGTCACGGGATGTTTTTGGTAGAGAAGCTTCGCACTCGAACAGGAAGATCGGCAACTGTTTACAGTTTGAACGGTCAATACTTCAAAGTGAATGAAGCCAGGCAGTAAGAGAAGTCGATATAGAGAAAGTACCAACCGACCGCACGTTTAGTTTACCCGAAGGATACCCAAGCGAGATATTCAGCGACAAGGGGTCGGACTTAGTAGGGGTTAAGAATAAGCTGGATGAATACTTGAGAGAATGGGAACACGGACTGGTTCACAGTGACCTGCCTGCAAAAAAATTGACGGGTATTTCAACCCACCAGCGGCAATCCACTAGGACGGGTTTTGGGAACACATAGTTCAGCAAAGTTGTTGCTGTTGATAGACAACTTAGAAGGGTTCGGAGGTATATACAGGAGTGATAGATTTCCTGAGGGACGAAGATAAACTAATTATCTTGCAGAAATATTACGACAACGGCGTAAGTGGACGAATCCTGAGAGAAGCATTCAAGTAGGTGACTTAGTCATGATAGTGTCAGACATTGGGATAGAAATAAGTGGCCTTTAAGACTGGTGCAGTGAAGATAGGTTGGTTGAAAAGGTAATATTAAAAACAGTAAAGGAAACGCTAACTAGAAACATTCGTAGGGTGCTTCCTAGAGGCGTCGGGTAAAACGTGGTCGGCAGGGGGGACCCCCAGGCCTACTGCTGTAAGTCCTGGGGGTCATCGGGAAAGTTGGTGCAGGGGGTCCCCAGGCGTACTGGTGTAAGCTTTGCGAACCACTTAGGGACACATGTATACTTGTATCCATCTTTTTGGTGTGATAAGTTATTCGATGCTAATGGTTGCGAAAAGAAGCTAAAGTTCTTTGGCTAAAAGTGTTGAGTGTGTTTTGATCTTGTCCTTGTAACGTATTCAAAAACACTGCCCACTCACTTTGTTTGACTTCATTCAGTTTGCTTGTACAAGCATTTTTAACCTCTTGTTTCGATTTGTGTTACCATTATGTTTCATTTTGGATAGAAACTGCAGTAGCTGTCAAAATTGAAGGTTTGTAGCTAGGTTTTGTACATATATTTTGTTGTAAAGAATAATTTTTGCAGGGTTCACCTACTGTTCAAATACACATCCGTATTTTGGCAACTAATTGTTTTCGATGTGGTCGGTTTCGCTTTGGGTTTTGTGAACTCTGGAAATTCGTATCTTCGTTACGTGCTACTCAGTGGATTTGACGTAATATAAGTTTTTCAGTTTGGCTCTGTTCCTTTGGCTGACAATTTAGTTCGTTCCTCTTTGGAAACAAGTTTCATCATTTGGAATATTCTCATTCCAATATGTTTACGGATTGCTGAAATCGAGCTGCTAAACGAGTTCATAATGCTAGATGTAGACACTTATGAATGATAACTTGGAGTTCCTAATGCCTTTTGTGATAAGGAAGATAAGGTGAGCGTTGATGTTAGTATGCATGGTTCATGTAGTACGCCTAATTCTATTAATTATGAAGCATCTAAATCTTTGTCGAAGGAGAAAAGGCTAGAAAGCGAATTAGGATCAAGTGTTGCATTGTCGCATGATACATTAGGAGTTGAGGACAACACAAGCAGTCACTGCAGGTCTAAGAATACTGTTAGATTGTCTGAACCGAGTGACGTACAATATAACCTTGCATCAGATTTGACAGATTGTTTGACCTCGATAGCGAACAACACTTTACCAAGGACAGAGCTGCTGTACTTTGATGGACAGCCAAGTCAATACTAGTCGTTTATAAGTCAGTTTAAAGATACAATGTAGGCTAAACTTACTGACAGAGGCCAAATGTTGTCCTGTCTATTACGCTCTTGCAAAGGGAAGGCAAGGACAGCGACAGAAACGCATTTCGCTGCCGGCTGACCTCGGATACTATATAGCTAGGGAAATCCCTCGCTCGATCACTTATTGACGACTTGGTTAGGAACAGACGGTCTGTGGAGAAAACTGTTTAGGCTATGAATGAGTTCTCTGTAAAGCTTAGGAATGTCCCAGACCGGCTGTGTTGCGGATTTGAATTCGCTGGTCAACTTGGAGGCTGTTGTCAATCGGTTACCTATAGATTTACAAGATAGATGGGCTGACATAGCAGATAGGATTTTGGTCACTAGGAAGGAAACCGAATTTGAGGACTTGGTTTGCTTCGTTGAGGAGAGAGCCAGAAATTCGGAATGCGATCGGGTGATGGGTTCTGGCTCACAATTCAGAAGTAGGTCGCACTGCAAATTGGTAGGAGGTACTATCCATTCTACAAATGATCGAGCCGCATGTACTGCAAGTTGCATCCTGCGTTACGAACCCCACAGTCAACCTGAATGTCCGAAGGTATTGAAAATGCTGACTGACGAAAGATCAGTAGTCAAACAACTTGGTGTCTGCTACAGTTGTTTAAAGAAGGGTCGCAGCTAAGTTTTGCAATTCCAGACTTGAAAGTAAGTTTGAGGATTGCAAAGTGAATCATAACTTTTTGTTGCGTGTGACACAATAAAGCCAAAGTAACTGGTTCAATAACTCACTTGACAGAGGAAATAAGATCTAAGGTGAACTTGGGAATCGTCCCAGTGAGACTAACGGTGACTGGGATTTCCCAGTGCAAGTGCTTGGAAGTGGGTGTGGAACCCTGCTCATTGGATAAACAGGGTTCAGTGAAGGTACAAAGGGTTTACACCATTAGTCACTTACCAGTAACAGGTGCGGATACTCTGTCTGAACGGCAGATTAAGGTGTGGAGCCACTTGACAGACATCAAACTACCTCGATTATGCAGTGATACTGTTGGAATCCTGATCGGATGTGATGTTCTGGATACTCATTGGGCCCTAGAACAGTGTGTTGGAAATAGAATCCAACCATTCGGAGTAAAAACGCACTTGGCTTGGGTTGTATTTGGCTCGAAGCAAGATAAATCCTCATATAAAGTTGCCTTTTGCCGATGTTCGAATAACTACTGTGTCATATAGTTTAGAGAGGCTGTATGGTCATGAGTACAAAGATACTAGCAGTTCTGGTGAGATGCTTTCTGTGGAGGATAAAAGGGCAGTTAAAGTTGCGGATCGTTCCTCTAGGTTATTCAACGGACATTTTAAGGTTGGGCTACCCTGATGATTTGACAAACCTAGTGTACTTGACAATTAATTATGAAGTGGCTAAA